GCATCCCACGCTTTGCATTGCACTTGGTGATGTGCGGCTTGGATGCAGCTGCTCGGCCATGGAAACCCATTCCATGAAGCTCTCTACGCGCTGTTGTTGTGCCAATCTGAAGGCCGCATGGAGTTTGGAGGTCTGTAGCTATTGGCTCTGCAGACAGTTGGCGACTTCTGCGCGCTGTGCGCTTCAGCATGCGCTGACCCCGCTCTGTCATGTGACGTGGCCGACCACTTCCTGTCTGAGTTGCTGTTGTTCCCAGTTGCTTCCCCTTTGTTATAATCCCAGTAACTGGTGACCGCGGCGGAATATTTAGTAGCCAGGAAATGTCACGGATGGACTTATTGCGCAGGTGACAACCTATCACGGCACCACGCTTGTAGTCACCGAGCTCCTGAGAGTGACCCGTTCTATCACCGATGTCTGTAGAAGCGTCTGCATGCCGAGGTGCCTCATCCTATGCACCGGGGGCCATGGAGGGGATTGGAACACCTGAATCACATGATTTGGAGGGGGAGGGGCCAATACTTTTGGCAATATATGTCTGTAGAAGCGTCTGCATGCCGAGGTGCCTCATCCTATGCACCGGGGGCCATGGAGGGGATTGGAACACCTGAATCACATGATTTGGAGGGGGAGGGGCCAATACTTTTGGCAATATAGTATGTATATATATATACACACACACACAGTATATCTAGGGGCCTAACTCTAACCCTGTGGGACTTGCCGATGATCTTCTCCCTCTAGACAGGACATGTCTAATTAAAAACAATCCCTAATGATGTGAAACAGCCTCAATGCTATAGGTCACATGACTTAGTAAGTGGTATGAGACACGTCCCGTGATAATACTGCGCTCCGGTAAGGGTGGTGCGGGTCCAGTTGTGAACTTTAAGGACAGGTGCACTTTAACAGCTCTTACTGAATGTTAGATGGGTTACGCCAGGTATGTGGACCACACGGCTACCTACCTCTTGAACAGCTTGTGGCAGAGGTCTTGGAATGTCTCCAGCACGGCCGGCGGCTGCGGCCACTCCACGCTCTTGCCGTAGTCCGCCATGTTGCGCACGTTCTCGAAGCGCCTCACCACCTCCATCAGGTGGGAGCGGACTTTGTAGCACTTGTAACAGCTCATGATCTTGTAGATGGCCCTCAGACGCTTGAACCTCCAGCGAGCCAACGTCCCGCGCCAGACCTGCGTACATGAACTCATGAGGTCATCACCGGGG